AAAACAAAATAAAAAATAAACAAAAATTAAAAAATAAAATAAAAATAAAATAAAAAATTTAAAAAAAAAATAAAAAAATATTTATTTACCTTTTCTAAAATTCCAAACTCATAACAACTTTACGAAAGCATTACAGAAATTTTCATCTGAATGAGGACCAGAAAGATCTATAAAATCTAGCAATTAATCCTAAAGCCTCCAATCTTTAGTAATCCAGTATATTATTATAGCTAAAAAAGAATAACCATTTATTGATATTCATGAATCAATTGCAAAAGAAATTCTCCCAGGTGCACTCTATTAAATAAATAAATTGTTTAATAAAATAAAAGAAAAAATTTATACATATATTTAATTTACCTGAAACAATTTACTTATTTTTTTTTGTTTCACTTTAAAACTTTCTAATGTATCATTTTTTATTGTATCTGCTGATGGGATCAGTGCATCTAAATTTAATATTTTTTATCATCTTTTGAAAATATTTATTTTCTAATGTTATAAATGGTTGATCATCATCGATCACCCATTTAGTAATGAACTCGTGAAAACCTTTTTGTATAAATTTAAAAAAATAACTATTTTTAATATTCATATCTTTCCAATTTATGTATTATTTATTAACATACCTTAGATGGAATTGTTGTATGGATTACAAATTCATCCAATGTGCTTTGGGTTTCAACCATTAAATTCTTTGCTTTTTTTTGGGTTTTTCTCTAGATGATTACGTTCTAAATAATGTTAAAAATTTGTTGTATTAGAATCACCAATCTTACGAAACCATGTTTTATCTCTAAAATTTGAGAAATTAGATTTATAATTAATATTTTTATAAAAATGCTTATGAATATTTAAGCAAATTTTTATTTTTTTTCTAAAATACTTACGGGCAGTTTAAGCACTTAACCACTCAATGAGTTTTTGCATTTTTGTGTTCTTGTGAAAGTTCTTTTTCTTCAAATTGTTCTCTAGTAAAAAGTTCACTTCTTAGAGAAAGGCGCTTTCCAAGAGTTGTTTTCTCAGCCTCGCTCATTTTTATACATAAATCACAAATAAAGTTAGAAATTAAAGATCACGTAACATAAACATTTTAAATCCAAAATCATCAAAATATTGATTAAACCTGAGTCAACCCAGGTCAACCCGGGTCAAGCAAAGGTTGACCCTAACCTGACGGGTCAGGTTAAATATAGGACTCGTATTAAATAATAATAAACTCGATTCAGATTTTAAACACGAGTCAGGTCAAATGACCTGGGTATGACCCAACCCTTTCAGAATACTAGCTACCTCTTTTTCTTTATTACCAGTTTCTATTTTTTCAGATAAAGTGTTTTGAAAAATCAATATAATGTAAATTTCTTATATTTAAATCATTTTTATTATTTACACACATTTCAAAATAATGGGTTAATTTTATATATGAGGATTGTTCTAAAATATTAAAAAGATCTTCATTTTCTTAAAAGATAACATTTTATTGATTAAATAAATGAACTGAAAGTCATTCAATTTTATGTAATCTTTCTTGTAAACCAAAATTAAATAATCTTCAGGATGCTTCAATAGCAGAAACATATCTTGCATTTAAATGTTGAGTAATTTCATCATTTTTAATAGATCCCATTATATAATTAGGTCCTTTGTAAACATATTTGTAAAGATATTTCACAGAACAGATGCTTAAACATATTTCTATTTTAATATGATAGTTATATTTTTGACAAATATAAGGATTATAAGGTATAATTCATTTATTATCTATATTAAATTTTTCTTTTTTTGACTGTTTTTTCATTATCACTTCTTCTATATATTAGATATCCATTTTTATTTATTATTGTTTTTCAGTAATATTTCTGTGATAATTTTTGTTACATTTACCATTTATCAAGTAAGGAGATTCAGAATTCAAGTTTCTGTAAGATTCATGAATCATATTTCTAGTAACTGTATTATATAATAATAGTTAAAGATCTTTGTCTAAAATCTCTGTGCATATTATCTTATCAAAATCTTCAGGTGATTTTGGTTTATTTTTAGTTGATAAGATCATTAAATATATGCATATAGCAATCCTCTTTTTTGGAATTCAATTACATGTACATGGAGAATAACTACCTTTTACAAAAAGATTATAGGTGATTTCTTTTAATTTTAATTTAAACATTCTTGAAATAATATCAAGTTGATCACTTGCTTGTTGGTTTGACAAGAGTTTAGCTTTAATTTCTGGCTAATTAGAATTATAAATAACAATAACAAATAAATCAGATTTTCTATATTCTCTAACAATTGTCATGGAATCTTGATACATTTATTATATGTATCTGGTTGATCTAGTAAATGAAGATGGTAATATTATTTTTTTTCCAATCTTATCTTTGTAAAAATCTTCATTAGTGATAATATCATGCAAATCTGAATATAATTTACTTTTATAATGTTGTTACATTTTTCTATACCACTTAAATGATTTGATTTATCTTTAGCATATTGATCTACTAAATATTGCTAAAATATTCTTTTAGTAAGATATAATATACTTTTTGTTTTATTTGAATCCCTAATTTGCATTTAATATGCCGCAAATTTCTAATTGTCGCCATTTTCTTTTCTTTTCTTTTGGTTGATTTTCTAATTTTTCATCATCTACAGGTTTTATTTCCTTATCATCATTATTTACAGGTTCAATTTTCTCATTATCATTATCTACTTCATAATTATCATTATTGTCAAGAATAATAGGATTAACTTTATCAACTTCTTTATCAGGTGTATACGCTCTTTTTTTACCTTAGTTTTTAGTTGAGACTAATTCTATTCAATATTTTTAAAATTTTGTATAATTTATTCTTCAATATGCATTTTATTTTCAATTTCAAATTCAGATTCAGGTATAGAATCAATTACATTTGCTCTCAAAATTTATCATACCATCTAAAAATGATGCTGTAACTAATTGCAACTATATGGGCTCTTTGCAATAGAAAAGGAGGAAACTACCAAAAAATTTTTTTTGAGTTAATGTTAAATTTGAACTTATTTTATTAAAAAAATAATATTTAGCTTATAAAGCAAAAA